GGACCTCGCGGAAGAATCTTCAACACGGGTTGTAACGACGGCTTTATTCAGCTGAGTCCCCCATAAACCAACTGCTGGCACACGCCATTGATGGCCGAGACTCCCCCGACGCCAGGCTCTCGTCGCGTCGGGCCGCCCGCCCCCTCCGCAGCCACAGGGGCGAGGTAGGCACGCCCGCGAGGCACGCGTGCCAGCCGGCTGCCTACCCGCACGGCGCTCCCCCGGCCGGCCCATGGAGCGCGCCAAGGGCCTGGAGGGAGCGAGGGAGGGAGCGAGGGAGGGAGGGGTAGGAAGAAAAGGGAGGCATGAGCAGCGGGCGGCGGCGGCGCCATGCCAGCGGCACGGTCAAGGCCGAGGAGGGCAGGGCGAGGCGAGGCCGAGCGCGGGCACGAGGGGTGGCGCGCCAAGTGACCGCGGAGCTGCACCCAGACGGCCCGGCCCGGCCCGGCCCGGGCGCCACGCGGAAGTGCACAGCATGCCAGAGCGGGCAGATTACGCCCCCTGGCCTGGCGGGCAGCCTCCCGGACCCAAACCCGTGGGTCGTGCTCTGATCAAGGCGCCCGCCCACGCCCACGCCCACCCACACAACAACAAAAGGCCCCCCCTCGAGCTCGCCTGCCATCGCCAGAGACACTTCAATTCGCTTTCACTCGGCGTTATTTGCATATCGACTGGCTGCTCGCGCCAGAAAATAATAAAACACAAACGGGGGCGCTCGGCTACCACTATAGAACCAGCCCCCCCCCCCTCCTTTTCCACTCACGCGAGAGACAAATAATAACAGCGCTCCCGTTGTGAGTCACACGGTCGCGCGCGGCACTCGCTAAGTGGAAAGGGGGGGGGGGGGTAGTATCCCTCGAGAAAGTACAGACTGAAGAACGCGCAAAAATTAAGACTCATCGCGACTCGCCACACACACACACACACATGGAGACGCGAAACGCGTACCCGACCCGCCGCAACGCACAACACAGAGATAAGGGAGGCTGTGCCAGTACAGCGAAAGCGCACTGTTAGAGATTCATCCAAACAAATGCTTTGCATTTTCGAAGTATGGCGCTTTGCAACGTGTTTCATTGCTTCGCAATTGCAAAGCATCACTTTGTAATTGCAAAGGAAATGCTTCGTAGTTACAAAGGGTCGAAATACTTCGCAGTTATGCAACGCAACGCTTTATAGGAATTTAACAGCGCCACGGCACTGCTAGCAGCCGCGAGTGTGACTGCAGTTATCGAGTTAAGAGAAAAACGCGCTTCCCTATACCATGACGATCGGGACTCGAGCACGGGGTGCCCGAAGGGCGGTTCTAACTGGATACAACATCATCATGCTGCGCTTCAGCCCGGCCCACAACACGGCGATAAGGAAGGGGGGCTTGGCTTGCGCCGGTAAACGAGAGCGCCACGTGCAGGGCAGGGGGCCACAAATAAATAATTAATAACCCGTGCGGGAAACAAAACTCGAGCGGACCGCGCGCTCGACATTCATCCCACGGCGCGCATGTGTTCCGCGAGCGCAGCCTCTGGCAGCGCCGTCTCCTCCCTCCGACCCTCTCGTTTGGGCGCTCCGCTGCTCACCAAACTCGCCAGTAAAGTCAAGCCGAGAGGGAAAGGGAGCTGCAGGACCCAGCGCGCGGCGCGCCGGCTCCGGCTGGCGGGGCGCTTAGGGAAGACGAGGAGGAAGGCCACTCGTTGGTGGACACCACAGGCTATGGGCCGAACCTCACACAAGGCCAGGGCAGGCTCACTGCGTCGCTGCCGATTGACCGCGAATCACACATACAGCAGCGCTCTCTCGCTTGAGAGAAGGGCGCCCGTCTCTCATTGCTCATTGCTCCCTACAGTGCGGCCCGATAGCCCGGTTACGTTAGTTCAAAGTGCACGGGATACCCGGAACAAATTCGCAACAATGCGCCGTTTTGGGGATTTGTTGCGCTATATTTAAGTATCAAATCCCGAGTATTCGAACCCCGCCCTGCCGGCGGCGCTGCGGGACCCCCAAGCCACGACCAGCAACGATACGACGACACGACACACGCTCGCGCACGGGCTATGGGACACGGAGACCCCTCCGGGACATCATCGTCATCATCACCACCACAGAGCGAGACAGCAGGTAATCCAGCAGTAAACACACAAGCGCACCAACGCAGACGTACTGTTGGGACAACCACTCTTTTCCTGTCCAGACACGACAAGGAACGGCACGGCACGGCACGGCACGGCGCGGCGCGGCACGACACGGAGAGACACGACACCACGCGAAACTCAATACACACGAGACGCGACACGACAGAGACGACGTGAGCGCGGCGCGGTCTGCAGACTGACTGTCTGGCCAAAGCAGCGGCGAGCCGGGCGGGACACAAGGGCCCCCGCCGCGGAGGGGGAGGGGAGGGGGCCCCGCTCCGCACCAGAGGGGGGGCTACACGACCTGCCCCATCAGGTGCGGGCTCGGCACGCCCGGCACGCCTCATTCACGGCGCCTACACCCGCCGCCCGCTGCTGGGTATGAGAGACTGTGCCTCTTCTCCACATTGTTAAGCAGACACATTCTCACAAAAAACCACCACCAACAACACGAAACCTCATCAACCCAAAAACAGCCCACTTTTAGACACCCGCGTTATTTTTATCCCCAGTTTACAGAACCAGCGACCGAGGGGTTGTACAGAGAGTGCGTCCGTTCCTCTGAAGTTTCATTCGGCAGAGTACGACGGGAGCTGGGGGCGCCTGCGAGATTCGGGGTAGGCCACCCCGCAGTACACGCATGCATTGCATGCGGCATGTTGCCTACCTAACGGGCGCTAAGAGAGCGCGCGCCCATGGCAGGTTCGTTAAAGCGAGTGGCGGGCGTGTTTTCTGTCCGACCAAACGAGGCGGTCGCCACATCGATGCAACTTGAGCACACAAAACGCTCGATGAAGCCGACTCGCGTCAGTCCATGTTACGGCGTATGCGTGTTCGGTGTTCCACGGCAAAGAAGAAAACTTTAGCCAGTCGCGAGTCTCGCGCACAGCACATCGGCCTCCGGTGCGAAGCAGCTGGAAGGAACCCCACCGCCACCACCTCCTTGCCCCCTCACGACCGCAGCCGGGCCTAGAAGGCGCGCCGCGCGGCGCAGCGACGTCGTCGTCGTGGAAAGTAAACGTCCCGCGGTCAAAAACATTCACGACGCGGACGCGGCGGGAGACCCGAGCGGAGCGTATAGGGGGTCGGCTGGGCCCGCCCGAAGCGTCCAGCCGGTTCCCACGGCGGGGCGGGGC